AATTTAATGTTTGAGTTTGGGTTTGATTTCAAATCAAACTCAAACTCAAACTTATCAAATCAAACTTCGGAACCCTAGATTGTAGTGATTGTGCAACATTTCAATCACTATTTAATCACATCGAGTAAGATGCTTGAAAGCACTCTAAGATTGTATTACCTTATCATATTACTTTAAAAGTCAGATAGTCACATTTATTTAACTAAAAAAAAAGTTTATTTTGCCAAGTACTAAAGATACACAATATGGATAATAATTAGACAAATAGTAAAAAATTTTATAATACCTAAAATATAAATAAAGTATATATATTACGAACAACACTATAGAAGTTCCATAACTTAAATGCAAGACTCTAGAATCAATTGTGTTGAGAGCACTATTACTAATAGTACTGTTAGAATTTCCATCGATAGCAAGAATAAAAGTGGCAGGTACAACTAAAGCAATGCATGCCAAAGTCATAATACTAGAACTTGCTTGTGCTGCAGTTGAACTAAATTCTTGTTTCAACCATTTTTCTTTAAGAATGGTGATCCCACTAGCAAGAAAACATGATCCTAATACTAACAAGATATTTGAAAATATGGATCCAAGAACTGATGCCTAAACAATGCAAATTTTTTTCTTAGTTAAAGCTATTATTGATATTATTAATTCCACCGTATTGCCAAAAGTCATATTCAATAAAGCTGCCAAGACCTTTTATTAAATTGATAAAACAATAAAAATTTCAAATTAATTACTAGATTGTTTAAGTAAATGAAAAGATTAATTCAAATTTTCAAATACTTGTTTGACACTACATGAAAATTCTTTAGTTGCAAACCCAAACAATTTGGCCAATGAAATAATTGCAAGAAAGTTTATTGCAAAGATTATGACTTTATTTAAATTAAGAAAATTTACAATAAAACTTATAGAAACTAACAACAATAATATATTAATTTTAGAAGAAAACAAAATTACTTTAAGAGATTGTTTAAAGATAAGTTTTCATAAAAAATTTACTTATTTTGTTTTTGGATATTTTTTAAATGTTTCAATTCTTTTAAATACTTTTTTGTATTGTTAAGTTGATAAACACAGTATATCAATAATATTTTATTAGTAATTGTCCTATCTTTTTATAAAATTTTATCAATATAAGTTAATTAAAAAACAATTATAAATTATGGCTATTTATTGTTTCGAATCATATCTCTACCAGATAATGCTAGAAATTTAATTACCACTCATTGGAATCTATAAAAAATTATTGAATGTGATAATTAAGAATCACCTATTTTAGCATCATTAGTTCTACCACTATCTGTAAGATAATAGCAGCTTTGAAAATAGTTTTTTTTACTTCTATAATTGTTGTATAAGTAACTAAAGAATTGTCGATAGTTGGTATCATTGATTAATATAAACAGGTATTAGGATCTGAACAATACTAAAAAGTTAAAGAGAGTTGAGTATTATGCCACATTTAAGAGTTGTATATATAAAAATTTTTAGAAAAAGTTGTATTTTATTTACTATTATAATCTATTAAAAAACTGCTATGTTTTTCTAAGTTAGAAATTATAGCACACTACATATTTTATTTCATAGTGTATTTATTACTGTATTCTCTTTCTAGATGTTAAGAAAATACATAATTTAGTGGTTTATTATTATATAATTTTAAACCTAAAATCTGATTGGTTAAAAATTTTATCCAATTAGGCCCAAGAAAAGTGGATAATAAACTATAGTATTTTTTAGAAAGATCCCTACTGTATTGATTAAAAGCCAAAACTAATATATTTAAATATGATTTTAATTACAATATCTATTAAATTTCAATTGTCATTTCAATACATTAAAAATTAATTTAACCTTTGTAATTTATTTAAAATACCATATCTATAGGTTGCAATTGGTATAAATACTGCTATTTGCAATCTATAAATATTAACAAAACATCTAATTTCATCTTAAGAAATTAAAAAAGAATTAAATTCAAACTTTTTAAAAGCAAAACCTTCCTAAATGAGTTCAAGTTACCAAATATTCTGATAGTAACACAGTTAATCTATATTCTACAATGTATACTAATACTGCTTTACAGAAACTAGCTATTTTTTTTCAATGGAGTTAAAATCATCTTAATGATATTATTAAATTTTTTAATAATTAT